CCCCTTCACATACCACAAGAACTAGAGGTCACACGATGAAAATAAGGCAGCAGGTTTAAAACAACCATAAGGAAGTATTTCTTCTCACAACGCACAGTCAACCTGTGGAATTTGTCAGAGGATGTTGCAAAGGCCAAGAGTATAACTGGCTTCCAAAAAGAATTAGGAGACTAGGTCTATCAATGGCCATTAGCAAAAATGGTCAGGGACAACTCCAGGCTCTGGGTGTCCATAAACTTCTCACTGCCAGAAGCTGGGACTGAAGGACAGAGGATGGATCACTCAATAATAGCCCTGTTCTGTTCATTCCCTCTGTAGCACCTGGTTACCGGCCACTTGTTGGAAGACAGGATCCTGGGCTAGATAAACCATTGGTTTGACCCAATATGGCCATTCTCATGTTCTAATATTGCCAGTCACCTCATTTATATCTCCAGACACAAAATGCTATCATATACCAATTTAACAAAATTCCCCTTTTATCAAGCTATTCTAGTTCTCACTCGCTAGCACTGTGCAATGGCACTGCAAATCTTTACATAGACTCATAGACTTTAAGGTCAGAAATTATGATCATCTTGTCTGACCTCCCGCATGATGCAGGCCACAAAAGCTGACCCACCCACTCCTGGAATAATTCTCTCCCTTGACTCAGCTGTTGAAGTCCCCAAATCATGATTTAAAGACTTCAAGTCGCAGAGAATCCTCCAGAAAGCGACCCCTGCCCAGCAAGCAACCCCTGCCCCATGCCGCGGAGGAAGGTGAAAAACCTCCAGGTCCTCTGCCAATCTACCCTGGAGGAAAATTCCTTCCCAACCCCAAATATGGCAATCAGCTGAACCCCGAGCATTTGGGCAAGATTCTCCAGCCAGACCCTCTGGAAAAAGTTCTCTGTAGTAACTTTTAATATCCCATCATTGACCATTGTTACTAATTACCAGTGATGGCACATTATTGACCTATTGATTAAAATCACGTTATCCCATCAAACCATCCCCTCCATAAACTTATCAAGCTTAATCTTAAAGCCAGAGAGGTCTTTTGCCCCCACTGTTTCCCTCGGAAAGCTGTTCCAGAACTTCACCCCTCTGATGGTTAGAAACCTTCGTCTAATTTCAAGCCTAAACTTCCCGACGGCCAGTTTATATCCATTTGTTCTCAAGGAAGTTTAACAAAAGACAACATCTAGATAGCAGCCGTCAGCATAGTTAAACTTTACAAGGTTTAGCACAAGGAAAAAAAATACATTCCTCACCCTTTTTGGGGCGAGGAGGGGCAGCAGAGGAAGAATAGAGACAAGTCAGTCACTCATTGTTCTTTTTAAAAAACTAAAACCTTTCTAAGCATGTGGTTTACAGTGTCTCACCATCAATTTAGTACTTCTCTACTTGAAGGTCACTATGCTATCAGGACACTTTATGCCAAGATTGGTGAATATGTCTCTATAGTGTGGATCTTATTCTTCTCTCCTCACAGAGGAAAAGTTCCTATTCAAATCAGAATAAGCCCCCTCCCCCCCATGACAACTTCCTATTTTACACAATAGTGTAAGACTTTTATAGTTTTATTTTAAAGTTACAGATTGAAACATGTACAGAAGTTACCTGCATGAGAAGATAACATTAAGTTAGCTATTTTCCATGTTGTCTTATTCCCATTTCCTTTTCACTTTTTTTAGCTAATTTACTGAACAAGTTGTGTGTAAATTTACCATATGGTCTTGCAGCAAGTAACGTCAATCACTTGTGCAACTTCTTCAACACTGCCTAAAGATTGGAGAGATTTATATCGAGCTGTAGCTTGGAAAAATGCAGAATATTAAAGTTGAAGACTGGGACATCACACTTGCTGTTATTATATACTTGTCTAAAGTTTATAAAGTGATTAATTTATCAAACCAACAAGATGGTTTCATAGTACAACCAGTTTATAAAAACAATCTTTGTATCAAATATTGTAACAATATTGCTTAAAATGCTGCCATTGAGTACAGTCGATACTTTGCAAGATAGAAGTGTTAAGAACAGAAATAGTTTTATTTAGTTTTTTGCATTAACAGTGAACCTTAAAGTTGTACTTTCCAGACAAGCACACAGTAATCGATTTTACTTTAAAAACTATGTAAAAAAATGTGTTCATTACCAGAGTTTCCTTTCTGTGTGTCTGACATTTCTTCATTTAAGTCTTTCTGAAGCTGTCTTCTGACATTTCTGCTTCCTGCACCTTCTACCTCATGAAAAGAGTCTTTTCTTGTCCTGTTAAGCACAGGAATCCCAACTGTAGATTTGTACTCTCTCCAGCTGTCTGAATTGCCACGATGGTCATCGGATATCCATTTCTTAATTTGGTCTTTTTGGGTATCATTTATCCTTACCCCTTGGTTGTGACCCATGTTTTTAAAAGAATTTGAGCTACTCAGAATACTATGTGGTCCTTTTCTGGGACTGTTTCCACAGTGACCTTGTGATCCCTTTTTCTTCGGAAAGCCCATATCTATTTTTTTGCCATGTCCATAATCCTCCATGGGGTGATAGTCCTGTTGTAAAGGGTTCCTCTTCAATTCCTCTTCATCTAGAACTCCCCTCTCCTTTTTTCTTTTGGCAAAGCAAGTTTTTGCAGCATCTCCCATTATAATTGATTTTCAATATAATAATTTGCACCTGGAAAAAAAGAAGAAGGTAATTTTAAATAATCAACTGTTTAACAACAGATTAAAGAGGAATAAAAATGTAACAGGTTTAGCAAATGAGTAACTCATGGTTTTCCTCAGTACACCTTGCACATCATATAAAGACTAGAGCTGGGCAATTTCTTTCCCCCAACAAGTGGTAAATTTACCAAAATATGAATATATCAGGGCACCAAAACTATTTGCAAATATGGTAAATAGTTTTAATCAAAAAATAAATTTTTTGGACACGATGAAACATTTTATTTCAACATTCGTTTTGAAACAAAATGTTTTTTTTCAAATTAGCAATCAACTTTTTTGTTTTGACCTATCCACCCTTCCCCAACCCCCCCTTTTGCTTTTGGTGATAAATCCACAAATAAGATCTATATCACTAAATGTCAAGCATTTGCATTTTCTTTTTACTGTATTTCTTTATTCTGTATCAAACCAATACTACTAATTTAATTTGAAACTGAACTGTGCCTGTCATCAATCCCCCCCTCGCCCCAGCTTTAACTCAAATTTAAGACAACATTTTGAAGGGCTAAACCCAGGGATGAGTAAACAAAACATGTCACCCAACTGAAAATTATTAGATTTAGATTCAGCAGCACACACATAGAGGAAGAAAAGGCTAAATGTACAAAGATATATATAGACACCTAAAGATTCAGACAGGCACTTTTGAAAAATCCAATGAGGCACCTAACCTTATGTCTACACTGCAATAAAAAAACCTGAGGCACTAACTCACAGACCCTAGGTCAGCTAACTCAGGCTTGCAAAGTTTAGGTCGCAGGGCTAAAAATTTCAGTATAAATGTCCAGGCTGGAACCTGAGCTCTGAGCCCCCACCCTGCTTGCGAACACTGCAATTTCATACCCTTGCAGGCTGAGCTGCAAGAGCAGCTGTGGCCATGCTATGGGTCTTTTATCACAGTGCAGATGTACCCTGAGTGAGTTAGCTTCCTAATTGGGACTAACTGCTGAAATGCTTTCATAAATCCTACTAGGCCCTACACCTGCATCTTTAGGTACCTAAATACCTGTGTACATCTGACACAAAGTCTTGAATTCTCTCTCTCTCTCTCATATATTTTGTGAAATTTTCTATAAATAAAATAGGTTATTTTCAAATGAAGTGGTCTAAACCACACAGACGTTGCACTTAAAATTAAAACATAATAAATTAGGTGAATACCTAGATGGATGTACTGATACTAAATCCATGATTACACAGTGTTGTGGAGCTCCACAATTGCTCCAGGCTACTGGCTAAAAAGAGAGTTTTACACCCTTCAAAATAACTTTCCACACACTCCATAGATTAACAAAGAATCAGCCATACAACTATATATTAGTGATCTAGCAACATGTTTTATAGTTGTCCCAGAAAAACCCAAATACACATCCAACCAGGGGAGATTATGAAATGCACCACACACAGGAGGAAGCTGAGAGTCAAAGTACAGGAGAGGTTTGCCCTACACTTAGGCAGGAATTACGAGGCTGAGCTGTCAAGCCGCTGCTGCCTTCCTGGCAGGGCACGCCCGCGTTCGGGTTCACTCTCCATCCTCCCCGCCCCCGCAGGACCTGACGGGCTCCAGCAAGGCCAGCGGATACGCCAGCCCCGCTCGCAGCGGGCGGCCCTGTCCCAGACACTCGCGCTGCGAACTGCCGACCCGTGAGGCCACCTCACCGGGCCGGCAGCGAGCCGTTCCCCGCAGCGCACAACTACCGCCCGCTAGGGTCAAGAGGCCGGGCCAGCAACAGGGGACGAGGGGCTGGCAGGAACTCAGGGGCCCAGCCCCTCCTCCCGTGCCTGCCCCGGCACGGGGTTCCCCGGGGAGTGCCAGGAGCCGCGGGGCAGCGAGACAGGCCGGGCCGCAGGGGGGAGGGGGAGTAGGGACATAAGGCCAGGGGGTGGGGGAAGCTGCTCCGCGGTCACCGCCGGGGGGGGGGGGTCAGGCTCGGGAGCCCAACAGCCGCGAAGGGGTCGTGGGAAGGGCTCGAGCAGAGCTGCGGCCCC